TATATATATCTTTAAAAAATAAGATTTTTAAATATATTTAAATTTAATAAGCGGCTCGCCAATTCGGAAAAGCTAATAATTTTCTCGAACTAATTTCTTTCGAACGAGCATATTATCTCATCGTTACATAAAACATTCATAATTATCATTTCGCATAACGTAAGTTCAAGAAAGTGTAAGTCAATAATACATAATCAAATAATTACCCGATGTTATATCGCTTCAGTTTCACATTATAGGTACTTACGTAAAGAAAAAAAAAGGAGGATATCCAAACGTAATCCTTATACACTTGCAACAATTTCCCTTCCGTAACGGAACTGTATCCTTATATAATCGTAACAGAAATGGCAGTGGCCACGGATCACTTCTCGCAAATCATTAATCGATCAATTACGCGTCCTTCGCCATTGCAACATGCCGCGCCGTTGTCTTGATTAGAGCCGTTGGACGAGTTCCAACATTTGACTTTCATCGATCACGTTTGTTCATTTCGTCCGATCGCCAACTATCTGACTATCATTTCCTTCAAAATCACCTACACTGACTTTCACAAATAGCGGTTTCGTGCAAAGACGATAATTGTCGCGGCTCAAAAAAGACCGGGATTTAGATATGATATAGTTAAATTATAGTGTTCGAGGCTTTCTCTCTCCTTTCCTGCTTACACTACTAAGTCAAATGAGTTTGCAAATTTATAAAAATTTAAGCTGTTATATTTCACAACTTATATTTCGAAAATGGCTTACGAATTTCGAGTCGATTTTTTTTTAATGTTAATTATCTCGACTAACCTGTGCTGTTTCTATAGATTAAAATAAATGATCGGTTTCATAGGTAGGTAATAATAATCTTTGTGGCTGAGTCGGTATATATTATATATACGCTCGTATTAAAATAAAATAGATATACCTATACAGGGAAAGAAAGTACGCATTACTTGTAACATCGGCCATTACTATTTATCGTTATTTTATTGTAATAACGATTTGGTAGTGAATTGGTTGCAAATTTTTTTATATAATTAGAAAAGTCACTCGTTATTTGTAACGATGCTTATAGCTTTATGAAAACAGAACATATTCTATGCATGTACGTAAAATTTGTGAAAGCGAGAAACCAAATTTTTAGTACAGCCAAGATGGCACCAAATTTGGATGCAACGACAAATATATAACCCAAATAAATCACTCACTCTAGCTGTATCCAGCTGCATCACTGCTATCTAGTCGATGCTCTCTCAATCTTCTTCTCCCTCATCGTTTCGTCGTTACTGCATTTTTCTGACACACGACGAGATCATGCGCTTCTTCCTCTTGATCTTCCTCAATAGAAAAGTCGACTCAGATTAGCTTCAAACCTTCTAATCAAAGGATGCTTTCCATTTGATGACACAAGTCGACACAAATGTCGTTCTATCTTTGTCACTCTCTCAGTGTCAAAGGGTGCGTTCGGGAAGAACGCTATTAGCGCTGTTCGTGTCATTCTATCCTTGTTTGACATCTAATAAACAACGAAAGTAGATAGAAGTAGCGCTAATAGCGTCTCCCCGAATGCATCGCAAGAAGGATAAAACGACGCTTGTGTTGACTTGTGTCATCAAATGGAAAGCATCCAATGAAAATCTGATCCTTTTTGCTTCTAGGAGACTTACGCGCACGGTCTCGAGTCTCTCATTATAAATATTTCAAATCATTTAATTTACCAATTAGAAAAAAAGTTTACCAATTAAAAAATGCTTCAGAGTATCAATAGCATTACGTTGAGGTTGACTGTACTCTTATTCAACTAATATCAAGCGAGAAATTACCGCGGATGCATGCAAATACGTGACACCAACCGTGACGTTCGCGATCACGTACGCGCTATAACTTTATCGAAGTTAGAAGTGACGATCGCGCGGCACTTCAGGCGGTACTCCCGGGGTCCCAGGTGCGTTCTGAAGTACGCACGAAGCGCATGAAGGATGATACGCTTCATGCGTAATTCGGAACGCACCTCCCACATTAGAATTGCGTTTTAAGATAGAAAATTGGCGCGCAGTTTGGAGAATTTGATGTAGAGGAAAGACCCCTATTAAGACCCCGAGTCCATTTTGGGTAAATGCTAGAAATCTATAGGCAGAATTTAAAAAAATGATAGGTTATTTTGAAGGGAATTTAGTAAGCTTTAAGATAATGTTATGTAAAATTTAAATTCCAATTTTTTTTTATAAATTAAAGAAATGTAAAAAGTGAGCAAATCGCAAAGTCAAAAAATTGCGCTTCTAATATGAGATGTTCCGAGTAATCGATAATAAAACGCGAAGTATATCAGTATTGCGATTAAAAAACTTTATTTAACGTTTCTAAAACACAAATAAACACATCCAGTGCGCGTACAAAATGAGATATGCGATGTATTATACCTAGTTGATTCGTCTTCAAGTAGTTGGAAGCAAGCATCGCAGAAACAGACACTCGAAGTTTATTTCGATTGTCCTTTTTATTATTGTACAATAACATTTATACTTTAGCAACGATTTTCACTGTGACGTAGAAGCAAAGGTTATTTCATATTAGAAATACCCTGGATATCTCATATTACGATTTTACGATCATCAAATCTAATTTCAGTAATTAAGCAATTTAACATATCACGTATTTTTCTATTAGTACGATCTTACTCTATCACTACATGAAGAATTTATTGCCAAATATTTACTTATTAAATAATAAACAAGGTTTAAAAGCTCACATCTCAAAGAAACTTGAAGACATTCAAATTTTAAAATCTTTTTTTGCAACGACTACAGGCATGATCTAATAATAAATTTTCCACTAAACAGTTTTCAATCCAAAAACAATAAATTCATAGTGGCACCAATAGATAGTGTTTATTAGTTTAGTGGAAACGCCGCTCATATTAGGCGCCTATCTCATAATAGGGGACTTTTCTCTATATGTATACAAATTTATTCTATATATTATTACGTCATCAAGACAAGAATCAAAATTTCTTTTGTTTCAAAACAGTAAGTTATCTTAAATTTAATAATAAATACTAATCACAGAGGCCAACTGTTTGCTGCAATGTTAATTAATACTGATTTGCTTACCCAAGAACTATTTTTTACTATCGTAATTATGCTATTTTTGTATTAAAATTTTTGACTCCAAAATACATACATTATTAAAACGGGTAACAATTATAGGATACTTATGAAAATATGAATATTAATTTATTAGAATGTTTTGAAGAAATAATCTTTTAAAATAAAAATTTAATGGACCAATTAATTGTTTTGCATCGTAATAGTATTATTCATTTTCAAGTATTATGTATATCATAAAAAGTCCCTATTAGATTATATATTGTGTCATGTTCTTCGAAGCGTATTGCCGGTCAAGACGCAAAAAGAACCTACATTAACGCGCGCACATAGCGAGGTAAAAATCGCTCGGCATGAACGCGTTACTTCTTACACAATCGAAAGATATATACCAGACCTATCGCACTAATAGCAAATTTTTAAAATCATTTCGGGACAAAAATTCCAATATCACAAAACGTCGGGAAACTATAATAGTTTTTGAAGTATAAGCATTTAGAATTAGCGAATGACATCGCTTAAAGGTGATGTGTCTAGATGTGGTTGGCATTTTGCCACAAGATATCAATCACAACTAAACGAGGAACTGAAGTGACATAATTCGCTAACTTGAAATGCTTATTAATTTTAGTGCGGTAGGTCTGGAACATCCTACATATTGATGAATTCATCGAGACGAATAATCGCTCGATCATATTTTTATATTTCTGTTTATTTATTTTTTTTTTTTTTCCTATTCGACTTCTTTTCGACCGCGCGGCTACCTGCTCCGTATTGAGATACCCAAAGGCGTGAGTGTGTAAGAGGTTACGAAACGCTTTCTCCTTGTATGATGAATATTTTAAGTATGCAGCTTGCACCACTTCCTGTTACACCGATTGGGTCTGCCGATATGCTATCGAAAAAAAAAAGAAAAGAGCATAATTGCAGCGGAGCGTGTAATATGTACAGCACGGTCTCGATCGTTACCTTGGTCTTAACACTGAATAGTTTGTTTGGAAAGCTTCGTAATCGGTCTGAACGCAGGAGAATTGGCAAGAATGCTAGTATTCTTATATGCAGCTGATGTACGATACCAATAAGGTATATGCGTCTTAAAAAAATTTAAGATAACAAAGTAAGGCACGTTTACTGCCGTTCGAGATATTATAATCTGTAATTTCGAAATTGTATATCTTTTATTCAATTACAATTAAAATCAATATTTCATTCGCTGCATAAGCCTTAGAATTTACTTTAATGTGTTAATTAACACATATTAAAAATCAATGTGTTAAAGTGTTATACACGCAAAGTGTTATAAATTGATGCATTTATTAAAGTAAATTATAAGAATTCAATAAACGCAACAAAAAACCTATATATGTACGTTTTGTATTTATAATTACACATATAAATAGGTAAAATAATTATGGTTAAAAGCTTCTAACAGTTATTATTGCTGTAATGTTAGTAATAACAATTATATTAATATTTTTATTATATTTATATTATATTTATAGTTTTACTAAAAAATATACATAGTTGGTACCAAAAATTACTATAAATCATATATGTTTACAGCACAGAAACCTGCAGCAATATTGCTAGAATAATCTATGTTATATCGTAGTTAAATTATAGTAATTGCAACCAATTTTTGTTCTCAGTATATATAAATATTACGGAAGGAAATTATTGTTGGGGGAAATCCGGTACAGTATGCAATTATGCGTGCAAGGTACCATTCATGTATATACGTGTTACATCAATAATGATACACTTATCATCATGTTCGCACGTGTTCATATCCATTTGTGTTTATGTCCAACTTTCGCTAATCTAATATTGTATTTACGAATTAGAGGCAATCAATTACGATGCAAACTAACTACCTTCAAATTTCACACGCGATATTTGGGAAATCGTTCATTATATCATTCGTGACTGGGACGATTATGTATACGTCCGCGATATCGTGTCACACTTAAATAATGAATTTACATTTCATAGAACTTTAACCTTTTACGGGATTAATCAGACTTAAGTTTCTCTTCAAAACCAGAAGCTGTTTCAGCGACGCAATGCTACGAGTGAAATCAGTACAATTTATTGATGCAAAAGTGAGGACTTCCTGCGTTCGTGCATATACACGGTGAATATAGCGTAATTTTTTTGTAGGATAATCAAGAATAAAAGTATTGTTACACACACAATATGAACCCATCTCTATCTATTGTGCGTTGGTCAAAGAAAAAAGAAAAGAAAAAATGCATCCAATGGAAATATTTTTCACGGAGAACAGTGTTTCGCTTCGTGACGTAACGCCTATTTCCTATATTTTTATAACATAACATAACAGAATATATAAATTAATTAATTTATGAACTAATGAGAAATTTATGTTTTCAGGTTTTCGTGCGCACTCTCACTTTTTTTATTCACTCTCACAGAAGAAGCTCTTTCACATGCATTATGTATACCATCTTTATTATATCATAATAATTTATTTAAATACGAAATTATAATGTATAATAATGAAAAGCGATAAGAATTAAATAGCAGAATAATAATAATATAATATTCTATAAAATATTTTTTACAATGCATGTTATTAAGATAAACAAAGCAATACTTTCACTTGATAAGTCAATTCATTATTGTTATACAATCAAAAATGAAGTTTTCACGCGTATTGAACTGGACGTCATGTAGCAATACATTTATCAAAATAATCCGGTAAGTAATTTCAATAATTATTATATGTGTGTACAACCCTGATGAAAATAAAAATCAGAGCGTAAGTCGAATGTAATGGGAGAGTAACAAAAACGTAAACAAAACTTCTAGAAGGCGAAAATTGGAACAATGAAATGTAAAAGAAGCATTTAAGCTTCCTTTACATTTTAATGTTTCAATTTCCGCCTCCTAAAGTTCCGCTTCTGTTACTTTTCCATTAAAAATCTAATATACGCTCCGATTTTTATTTTCATCAGGGAAGTTACAATCGTCGCGGATTCACACTTTTTTAGAAATTATTTTGACAAACGTCAACAAGTCTGAACGATTCGCAAGCAAGAAAAAGGAAATTGCTCGAGTTACGTACGATTGTACACGTTATCGTGCAAAATCTCGTAGTACGCTGAGGCACACTCGATCGTATTGCCGCATTTCCCGCACCACTTCGAGACGCAACTTACACGTATCGTACGCACAACAGAAAGTTACGTAGCTCCGAAACGAACGTAACGCAGGCCGTACGTTTCCTTGCTTTTACATAACCCCCTGGATCCCGAGCCACTTTGCTCTCCCACCCCGTACAATTTCACCGGGTAGTTTTGGTCATCGCCGTGTCCGTTCTTTATAAGCGGACATCCCCGACGATCAAAACACAGAATCGTATCGACACAGTTTGCTAACAGTGCAGCACGCACAGCCGCCATCGCCGCGAATTTTCAAAAAATAATCGATCGATCGATTAAAACAAACAGAGTCGAAGATGCGCTCCCACACTATCGCTGTGAGTGATTTACTATTATATACCTACGTATTATTTTCATCGCACTCCTTTTGGTACTTCCGATCTTCGTCGTTTGGTTTTGTGGTCGTCGAGTGATTTTAACAGTACAACTAAGTGTATACCGCGTCAATTTTGCAAAATGTGCTTTGTGATCGCAAAATTTCTCTCGAAGATGAGAGTTCTCGAAAAGTATATTTGAAATTTTTTGATATTCAAATCGTAATTTTGTATAATTAAGTAGTAG